AGAGCCTATGCGTATAGTTCTCCTTCCCCCAGCCTACACCATGTATGCAGACCCTGGACCCGGGTCTCCACTGCGGCTGTTTACTAATCTGTAAAGCCATGAGGAGCCTATAAATAGGAGAGGTGGAAGCAGATCGACGGGCAGATCAATAGGGCCCCGTCTCCTCGCCATTTCAGCTGAGCCGTCTTATTAATTATGAAAGGATTCGCCTGATCCCCGCCTGGGAAAGCAGTCTCTCTGCCCCTCTGCAGAGCCCTTAATGGCGGTTCCTTTGCAAGCTGCCTCTAGCCACCGCAGAGGAAGAGGTGTGTGGCGGTTAGGGCCTGACCTGCAGGAACCTAGGTTAGGGCTCAGGCCCACCTGGGGGCTTGGCAGGCGGCTGACCACGGTCATTGTACCTGCGTGTGAAAGTCTCCAGTGCACACTTAGTGAAGGCCTCTGTTCTCTAATGAAATTGAAAACGACCCCTTTTTTTCTTCAAATATAAGCCGAATCTGAGAGACACAGCCAAACGTCTTAACTGATGAGGGTTCCCGTGAAGACGACATCCAGATGTTTGGTGAACAATCACCTGGCTCCCGTGTGCGTTCCTCTAGATATTCTGGGAACTCGGCGGAGGGGAAAAAAAGTGACACCCCCATTTCAAACAATAACTTTTATTTTATACTTCTCTATACTTTGTAGCAAATTTTTGCTGAATTTAATTTATAATAAACTTTTTAAATTACATCTCTCTCTTTTTTAAAATCAAGGCTCTTTTATGTCAAAATCTTTTTTTAACTATAGTTTAGATTTAACATTGATTACCCCCTTGTGATCTATACCGTTGGATATTCAGGTATTACTGTATGTGTAACAGCTAAAACAAGAGAGAGGAGGGAAAATAAAGGCAGTGGACCTGAAAGATGCATCGGCAATAGCAGGTGAAGCCAGCCCCTCAGTGACCATAGCATTTCCTCTGACCACCTTTCCCACTACACCCAGCCTGTTTTCATCTCTCTCTTATCCTTAAAATGCAAAGCCCACACTGTGTGTTTTCGCTTTCCTGGAGGAGAAATGTGCAGTGGAAATGATCAAAACAAGGTACTGTGGAAGAAAGACGTGAGTGTGAGTATTCACCAGATGCTTCCCACGTGGACACCACTCTTGAATTCATTCCCCTGGCCTTCTCCTCTCCTCGCTTTCCTATTAGGAGGAGCCCATCATTTTTCATGTTATCAACATGATTAATATAGTAGGTGGCCCAGGGCCATTCCTGAGATTCTTTTGCCAAAAAATAAAAAAATTTAAAAATGGGGGTGAGTTTGCCGTTTTCTTTTGTGTGTGTGAAGACGGACTAAAGCTGAGGTCCGGTTTTGGCTGTGCTTGCTCGTTCACTGATCGGTAACATTTGGCAAATAAAATACAAGGAATCAAACGAAATAAAAAAGAGAAACAGATTTCCCACAATCCCATATGAGTGTTTTCAACATCACAGAGAATCACAAGGTCCTCAGAGAACGAATGGCTCTTCCTCTCGATTTCCGGGAGCATGGAGTGAGTGTGGGTGGGTGCGCCGGGGGTGGGGGTGGGGGGACCTGGTCCCACGCTCAGAAGGAAAGCCAGGTCGCTAAAGCTGCCGAGAGAGACACCAGGAGCACAGGAAGCGCCGGGAGCAGGGACCCCGCCGCCCCGTTGCCGCTGCCGCAGAGTTCGAATAAGCTGCCTTGGATGTTGAGGTTTTTCGATTCTTTTCTCAGTTTATCCCACATATCTTTCGCCCCTTCCTGGCAATCCGTAAGAGCTGTGACCGTGCAGCTGTGGAAATCCTCCCAGTATCTGGCGAGGAACAGAACAAAACAGAAGAAGCAGGATCACTTTGGGCGCGGGAGGACCCCAGAGCTACGCTCCCGGTGACTGCGCCCTTGCCAACCTCCCAGAGCGCCTCTTCCCCGCCCGCCTCCCCTTTCCCAGACCTGTTCCGCACTGGGTAACGACCGGCCAGATCTTTAGCTCATCCTAAACACCGGGTCCCAGAGTGTGGGCCTCTCCTTTCCGTCTGATTTCCCTAGTCCGGTGCCAAGAGGGGACCTGACAGCCAGGAGCGGGGTCGCACCCGCTGCGTGGCACTGGCACCACAGCCTGCGCAAACAGATTGCTCACCCTCCTCCGGGAAAGCTAAGAAAACAGCACTAAGCCTTGCAAGCTGCGGCCCATTAATGCCTCTTAGCTCGCAAGATGGGTGACTTGCTCTGAGCCAGGCCCTCCCCTCCTGGCTTCTCACATTCTCCTCCCCCTCGCCCCTTCTGTTTCCCTCCTCTCCCCGCCGCGGTCCTTTCGCCTTCGCCTTCGCCCTCCTTCTTTCTCTCCACCCAGCCCCCACACCTTCCTTTTGTTTCCAGTTTTTCCTCATATCCCCTTTCATTTTCCCCCCTCTCTTCCTTTCCGCGCTTCCCGCTTGCTTCGGTCCTCCGAGGTCATCCTGCCTTTCTACAGTCCGGTCCTCCAAAAGGCGTCTGGGGACCCCCGCCAGCTCTTCTCTCCATTCCCAGGTCGGTGAGTATTAAGTGCCTGAGCACCTGAGTAGACTGTGGAGCCTTCTCCAGCTCTTGCAAACCTCTGTGGGTGGCTCCAGGTCTGCGAGGTGGATTCTTACTCTAACCTTCTCCCTAGCATTTTTCATAGGTTTGAATAGCCGGAGTTTATGACCTACCACCTCCAGGTTGTAGTACCCACTTCTCTATAGTGGGCTTGATGGACACCTATGTTGTTCACTCCCGGACCGGGCTCCGGATCCCCCACCTCGGGACAGTTCTCAAATCGACTCACATTAACTCAGCCTCTTCCCCTTCTCCCTCTCAGCTTCAGCCCCGCCCCCACAACCTTCATCCAACCTGTCTTTTTTTTTTTTTAAATTTGTCCCCCTTTCTTGTGGAAACCCAAAATAGATCCCGAAACTAAATATAATCCCAAGCCGTGATCGATTCCTAAAGCTCTGTCTCCTTTCGGAGGTGGGTCGATCTGTATGTCTGGCTCCCACTGCTCCCAGATCTAGAGCTCAGGGTCAGCAGTTACTCTTAGCAGTGTGGGTGCATTTTTTTTTTTTTCCTCAGCTCTTTCCTTTCTGTTCGTGCACCGGGACTGTAAGCTTGTTGAAGGCAAGCTTAACCTTCGCTTCCACTTCAAACCTGGTTTCTGGCTCACAGCGAGTTATATATAAATGCTTGTTGGGGTTCTTGGAACTTAGGCTGCCTCCTAAGGACTTCCTCCTTTCTCTGAATTATTAGGGCTCCGGGACCTGGGCACAGGACTTCCAGGCTCCACAATTTGTAAATAGATACCAAGATTTACAGACACTGCAAGGCCCAAGGGACAACTCCCCTGCAGACTCTAAGGCAATTGCACCTGGAAAGCAAAGGACACACAGACTGCTCCTTTTTTAAGGTATCCCAGATAGGGACTGAGTACTTCTTTGATATGGGGTGTGGAGAAGAGCAAACATTCACCTGGGGCTGGGAGAGGTTAGCTTCACCCACTTGCTGACCAATGGGTACTATTAACATGGTAGGTTCTGGATCCAGCTGCCTGCAGCCTTAGGGACAGCCCTTCTCTTGTCTATGTTTTCCAGGACCTGAGTCTTGCTAAAAAATTAAAGGTAGCTAGGAATATATCATGCTTTTAGCAAATGCTGGAGGTTTTGAAGTATGCAAACCTGCCTTGCTTTGCAGATTCTTTTTTATCAGATGTTTGGAATTAAATATTTTTTTCTGTTTTATGATAGAAAGATATCAGCCACTTACTTGTTGGAGTTCCTAGTGGGTACTGAGGTATTTAGTAAAGTTTTTTTAGCAAGACAAGCCCCTCCATTTGATCATTGCTTAAATGAATACCCTTCTCCCCTATTTAGGAAGAGAAGAACCATGCATACGCTATGGAAAGTGGGCACTTGACTTCTGGGAACAAAGAGTGCTTCTTGCCCTAGCTTTATTACAAGGCCATTTGGTGGGAATGGTCAAATACAAAGTTGAAGGCATTTCTAAGGCCTCCAGCAGCTAAGATGTGGAGGTCCACTGCAGTGGGGCTCTGCTGGATGCCTCCTTTATGGCAGATGCAGGCTTTCTAGCCAACCACTGAGAAAACACCACTGAACCAGGCAATGAAGGCCTCTTCACCCGTGGACCCGCAGCTGCCCCCATCTGGGGAGATCCTACAGATATGGGAAGGGGAAAGGGTGATAGGAGCAAGGAGGGTGGCTACTCCAAACCTGGGAATGGACTGCAAACTTAGCAAAACCTGCCAAGCCCCAAAGTCACTGACACACACCAGTGCTTCAGGCTTTCTCTAGGAAACAAGGAGACCCGTGGTCCCTTCCTGCACTTGCTTAGTGTGCTTTGGAGGGGGGCTTCTCTTAAATCTCCTATTATCCCCAGCTCTTCTTAAACTGGAGTCAACTGTTCAGAGTAGTAGGAGGCTACCTACTCACAAGAAGAAAGATGGGAAATCATTTCAAAGCAGAGATTTTGTGGAATGAGAAACTGCTAAAATGGCACTTGCCCTGGGTCCATGCCTGTTGGGTGCAGGCCCTTAAGACTGGAAAACTTAGGTTAGTGGGAGAATTCTCTCCCTTAGCCGACCTCAGGCCATGAAGTCCCCTTAGACAGTGCAAATTCTAAACCAGGAACCTGGGCCTCAGGGCCAGAGGGCCTGTCGGCAGCCTTGGCTAGAAGGCAGAAAGACAGATTCTCACTAGTAGAATGTCGAGCCCAGGAGGGGAGGGGGTAGGGCAGAGCGTGGGGGTGGGGAGTGGCATGGAACTCCGACCTCAGCAGCGCTCCCAGAAGGGAAACCCAGGGTCAGAGAGGACACTTACGTGCACACGGTCTTGATGTTGGTCTTGTCGTCCAGGCCCTGCGGGTAGTTGGCCATGCTGTCGCCCAGCTTGAGCAAACAGTCTGAAAAGCCCTTAAAGACTGCATCGCACTTGCCCGCTGCTCTCACGGCCTGCACCAGGTAAGCTGCGGGGAGGAGGGAACCAGTCAGCATTGCCACCACCAGGCCCCACCACTGACCCTGTGGCCCCTTGGGGTGGTCTCTCTTAACATTCAGCGAAGTGGCCCAGGAATGACCTATTTGCATTCGGCCCACCTCTGGTGCAGATGGCGGGATCCGAGCGTGGGTGAGTGCAGATGGGTGGCAGGGAGGTAAGTCCATTTATTTTCTCCAGCTCGCTCCCCCAACTGAGCTCCATTTCTTTTTCTGTTTTCATCGCCCCCTCTTCTCACCTCCCTCATCTCCTTTATTACTCTTCTTTCCTCACTCCCTCCTTGTCTCTCAACACTTCCCCCACCAAAAACCCTGTCACGTCTCGCGGTGCAATCTTCCATTTTTGTGGTGACAGAGGGGGTCTGAGAAGTAGAGTGCTGGGGGGCCAAAACGGCCGGCCGGCCGGGCCAGAGAGGTGTGGAGTCCGGGCTTGCGCGGCTGAACCAAGCGCCACACCCCCAACGCAGCCACCGGGCAGCTGGGTCTCTGTCAGGCGCTCAGCAAATATTGCTTAATGAATGAATGAATGAATAAAGTCTTTGGAAGACCGCAACAGCCACGCGGACGGGATGGTTTTTATTACAAGACCGATTGCCCAGCATGAAATCTGTTGTTTGTGAGACCCTTAGGTGCACAGTTCCCTGCCGCTTTAAAGCAGGGCAGTTTAAATGCTCAGGGACCTACCTGAGGTGAGGATTGGTCTCAGTAGCTGGTGTGTGTGTGTGTGTGTGTGTGTGTGTGTGTGTGTGTGACAGATATATCTGTGCCAGTGACCCCAGTCAATGCCCGCAGCCTGGTGTGTGTGTGTGTGTGTGTGTGTGTGTGTGTGTGTGTGTGTGTGTGTGTCCTGTTTTTTTTTCCCTTTTCTTCTTTGCATCTCTCACCTCTGCACTCCCCCTTAATGTTCCTGGAAACAGCCAGGAGATCAGACCTTTCCTCTCAAGGTTGCAGCCAGCCAGCCTGCTAGGCGCCAGATAGGCTGCCGCCTAGGGCTCTGGCTCCTACGGAGCGGGGTGGGGTTGAAGTAGGTAGAAGCTGGGCCAGAGGCAGCGGAGAGAAGGAAAAATCCCAGGCCACGCTGGGATCCTAGCTCCCAAACTCAAGCCAACCAAATCTGGAAGCGCTGGATTTAAGAGCTACTAGCTTCCAGGCAGACTAGGGCGGCGCAACAGCCATTTCTTCCCATCCGGTGGCAAACGAACCGGGTTGGGGGCTCAGTAAATAGAGGGCAAAAAGGCCCCAAACACCTGAGGGTACCCGAAGGGCTCGAGGGAGGATCAAATCTCCACTGTAGGGGCGGGGAAGGGTGACTACTAGAAGGGGAATCCTAGAAGGGAAAGGGGCCTTCGGCTCTAGGGGATTTGGCGCAGGCCTCTTCTACCACCTAACCCTGTTGAAAGCATCGCGGAGGGGTGGAACACTCAGCATCCTCAGTCTCACGCAGCCACCTGTCCCTGAACGCCAGGCTACTGCAGACCCGGGGGAAGGTGACCCAGCCAGACGCAGCCTCCGTGCGGGCTGCGCGTCAGGCAGATTGCCGCAGGAAGAGCTAGGCGGGACTAGTGCTTCCTAATCCGGAACGGGAAGCTCTGCGGAAGGGACCGAGGTTAACTTCCACCTCAGCCGGGGCAGACACATAACCTTTCATAAACCTAGCTTCCTTCACACCTAGTTTTAAAAGCCCTCGGCACTATAACAAAAGCAAATTTTAAACACTGACATCGCGACCTATGAATAAATGAATCTTTGTTCTAATGTGGCTCAGTCACGATGGAAGAAACCCTATACAGCTTCCTCTATAATGCATGTTACAAACACGCCTTTGCAGGAAAGAAACAAAACGCAACCTAGTCTCCCTGGCCCTGGGGCCTTCCTCACCCCCCAAACTCGGAGTCGTTAAAGATGCCATGATGATTTTTAAAAGGGGTGTTGGGGCTTTCTGGGAGCAGGAAGCCCTCCTGTCACCTTATTTTCCCAGGCGTTGCTGGAGCAGATCCTGCAGCGCGCATGTGTGTGAGCGTGTGTAAAATACGAATTCAGGAACATTTCTGTGTTTCGAAATTGTGGCTTCTAGAGATCTAGCTTTCACTGGAGAGCCGGAAGCAATGCGCGGGACAGAGTCTGCAGGCGCAAGCCTCTGCGCAAGTCTGAGCTCTCGGTTCTTTCAGAACCCGGTTTCTGTAACCCCCGGCAGTCGACCCCAGCTCCTCTGTTTTCTCTAACATCCCTATCCAGTGCGGTTTTCATTTGCTCATTCATTCGTTGGACCTTTCATTCATTCCAAACTTCCTCTCGGCGCATCTTTATTCGCTCACCATCCTCTACTTCCCCGCCCCTCCGCAACCCCCACTTTTCTTGCCAAATGTCAGTGATTTGGGACAGCTTCCATCCATGAATTAATAAAGACTGAGGCTCTGATGCAAAAAAAGGGGGTGGTGGTGGTGGTGGACATTTGGGAACATATACATTTTAATTCCACTGGCAGTATTTTGGTCATTTTCAGGCTGAGGTTAATCAAATGCATCCCTCTTGCAATCACTGTTTCATTATTTTCTATTCTCACCCACAAGGAAAACAGAGTCCCCAAACATCCTCCAGGTGAAACGCCTGTCTTAAAATCATCACTGTTTCCTGATCTAGAAGCGTTTGCAGCCTAACTGCAAAATGCCACAGTCACTTATTTCCAACACGTAAAGAATTTGCTGCCCTTGGGAATCTATGTCCTAGGATTGTTGCAGCTCTTTGAACTGGTGTCAAAGGCACAAAATCATCAGATGCAAAGCATTAAGTCATTTCCTAAAATTAAAGGAAAAGCCAACATCCCCATACACGGCCCTTGCTCTGCAAAATCCCAGTTTCTGCAAAATGACAAAAATCCCCCAAAATCATGTCAAATGCGTATAGACCCCGATGGAAAGAATCAATTTTAATGTCCTGGGAACACTGATTCCTCTACATTTCTTATGAAGAAAAAAATATTAAGCATTCCTTTTCTTGTCCCACACAAATTCCCTAACGCACTCCTTAAATACTGCAAGATTTGCCCATAAAGAATTCTACAGCCTGACATGACAGCAGTTCTTTCCATCTCCAGAAAACCCATTGGAGAGTTTCTATTTTTTTCCTCTTGTCCATTCTATTAATAAGCTGCTTTACTTTCACTTTTCGGCTACATTAATTAGTGTTCCCATCCGACATCAGACAAGCGGATTCTTTAGCACTTACAACATTTACATTTTGGTTGGAGAAATATGAACTTTAAAAAAGCTTTTTGACAGTGTAACTGAGACTCAACATTCCTTAACATAAAATGGGGACCGAATTAGTCCTTCTATAAACCGCTGCAAACAAAAATAACAAACACACGAAACGACATATTGCAAACGCGTAAAACCCCTTCCTATATAAAAATAATAGAGATGCTAATATGTAAAGTCACAGACACACGGGAGCCTGAAAAAGTGTATGGGTGCATATTTGGCTGATTTATCCTCCTCGGCGCGGAGTCTGCGGTGCCCGGAGCAAACGCTGCAGCTAGGATATGGGGGAGGGGCGGGGGAAGGACAAAGTTCTAAATGCTGCAGTTTGAGGGCAGCCTTGGAATATCTTTGCTTTCTGCAATAAACTTTTCAGACCTAGCTGCATAGCCATCTAATTTCTGCATTCACATTTCGACCCCTCAAAATAGTACCTTGCAGTATAACAGGGGCCACATGCCACGAGCGCTCCGACCCTGCTTTAACCCGGGAAAGGGTAGCAAAAATGGATGTGCGCTTTGGAGAGAAAGGAGAAAACCCCTTTGGAAAACAGCCTGCCGCACACACTTCAAGTCCCTTACTTTAGGAAAACCGAACCAGGACTCCAGAGTCCCAAACAGCTAATGCCCCGACCCCGGGTGTCTGCAGGGTTTTCTGAATGCAGCGGCAGACGCCGGCCAGCAAGTCCCCTTAGGCGCCTCCGGGGCTGGCAATCTCCCGTCGCCTACCATGCCGGACCGGGCGGCCACTTACCTATTTGCACCGCGAGGATCAGTGAAATATATCTGCCGTTCAACTTAAGTCCCATCCTACGTTTAGTCAAACCATTTGCGACCGCAGACCTTTAAATAGTTAGTTTAGAGAACGCGGGGGAAAGCTGAAAAATAGGCATTGCCAACAAGTTCCGGGAGCGACAGAGACTTTATGCACTGGGAAGGCAGAGGGAGGAGAGAAAGAGAGGGAGCGAGGAAGAGACAGAAAGAGAGCGAGAGAGTGAGAGGCTGGGGGGGGGGAGAGCTGGGAATGGTTCACTCCATTAGGAGGGGGCGGAGGAAGTACAGCCTCACGCCCACGAGCAGGCCTGACGTGGGGGATGACACGGATTGATTTTTTTTTTTTTTAATATAGACACCTTGGTAGAGAATCGCCATTTATAGTCATAAGACTCTGGAATTAATCAGCTATCTCCAATTAATGTGCAATCTCAACGAAATCTCGCCTCTGTGGGGTGACCACTTCCCATCCCGGTGGCCACCCCCGCCTCCTCTTTCCAGGGGCCCCCAGCCCCGCCCCCTCCGTGCGCAGAATCGGGGCTCCCTCTCCTCTCCCCGCCCGGAGCCGGGGAGTCCTGGCGCGCCCACTCGATTGTTCAACCTGCTCCCTCCTCCACCGGCGCCACAACGAACCCAGACACTTCTAACCCTGCAGCGAGGTTTCAGGTGCTTCTGGCCTGGGGGGGAAACTCAGCCGAGCCGAATCGCCGCACCCTCCTCCCTCCACGGCCTGCAGACCCCACACTTGCCTATCCTCTTTTTCTCCAGCCCCTCAGCTGAGCTCTAGGCGCAGCCTGGAGCGCGTGAACACAACACCCGGCCCCCAGCACCCGCACACATGCGCACGCCCGGGAACAGAGCCCAGCGCCCCCGAGTCAGCCCGCACACATTGCACGCGAGCGCGCGTACACGCCCAGGCCCCAGGGGTTCGTGCACACCTGGGGCCCCAGAAATAGACTCCTCGTGCCCTCTTGTGAATCTCGCCACTGGCGACTTGCACCCACCCGAGGGGCCGCTACACTAGACGCAGAGACAGCTATTTTGGGGGGTGGGGAAGGCACCGGGCAATGAGCCTTGGCTAAGACGATTTTCGGATTCTTGTGATTTACAAACTCTTAGCGCTTTAGGAAATTTCCAATGCAAGCTTCAGTGTGCAGACTCTTTTCTGGGAGCCTCCTGGGGTCATTTGTTGGGCTGCACTCACACGTTTACACACACGCACCAATGTCCATCACGTACACGCACGCACAACCGGACCCCCACACACCTGCGCTGCTTTTTGATGATCCAGCACATACTGTGCAGCAACGAAATGTCTCTTCAGCTGCGTTTGTGCAAGGTCCTGTAGTGGGTCGTGTAAAATGGAAAAATAATCAGGGCTATTTCCTAAACGCAATTAAGTTTTGGTTTTCTCTTCTTTTTCTGCAATGCACCACATCCTCTTCCCCAGCCTGAATTCTAACGTCTTTGATCAAATGTCCAAGGCCGCACTGGCTAACTTTATTACTTAAGCCAATTGAAGAGA